GCGCTCTCTCGGCCCGGCGCGGGCGCGTCGGACTTGGAGCGGGGCGTGGCTGCATGCACTTGACTGGTTGGCAGCCGAGGGGGGCGCCCCTGGCGCCTTTTTGGCGGCCTATGTGGCGGGGGTGCACAACACCCTGAACCAGGGCTCGGCGGCGATGGCGGGCCTGCGCCAGCAGTTGGGGGGATGGGGACTGCATGCGGGGGACCATGCACTGGCCAACCGGGCCGCGCGGGCCGTCCAGCGTGGTGGTGCTTGTGCGGAATATGAGGCTTGCTTCGCCGCTGGTGAGGCAGATGAAGTGCCTGGGGCCGGATTTCCGTCGCGCATGCCCTACTACTTTCGCCACACGTCCCGATTCCGGAACCACCAACATGCGCGGGCTCTGATGCGCCTACGCTGCTGCTCCCCCCCTTTTGCTGCGTCACCGACAACCCCACCCATTGCCCCCACTGCGACGGCCTAGGCCGTGACGAAACGGCTGAACATGCTCTGCTTGATTGCCCCGCATACGCGGACCTGCGGGCCGAGCCGCGCTTTGCGCCCTTGTTTGCAAATCTACCCGCGCATGCGCGCATGCGCACTTTTGTGCGCAGCGCGGATCAGCACACACTGGGGGCCTTCGTGCACGCCTGCTTTGAACGGCGCACGGTAGCTACTTGAACCTCAGTCACACAACGTTGGTGCTTCACTGTACAATCCCATGAGCCTGGATGGCTCCAGGAGCAGGCGACCACGGGACGCTGTAACAATCCTAATCCTTATCCTATAGCATGTTATACAGCAAGAGCGCCGCATCACTGCTGCATGTCTCCCTCACACGTCCGCATAACGAGCTCGCTGAGCAGCTTTTGCCGAGCAGATCTTGTGCCGGCTCGAGCCCATTCCTCGACACGCAACCATGCCACACGCCACCCTAGTGCAGCGAAGTGCCACTGCGTGAGCTCAGCAGCCGCCAGCAACCGTGGTTGACCGTGGTTTTTGGCCCCGCCTTCTTCGTAAGTGCAAGCGTCAACAAGCATAAGTGCGACGGGTTGCGTGTCCAGTGTGCCACCACCATCAAAACCCCTGCTGTCTGAGATGCGAGTGGACACGGCAACGTCCGCAAAGAGAAGCGTCTCGTGCACCCGGTGCACCATCTTGGCCTGTGCTTGCTCTGCAGCCCCCCAAGACTGACCTGGGGCAACCAGCACTGCGCGAAGCTCCATTTCAACCTGCTTCAGCACGTCAGAGCGCGGAGAGGCTTGCAGCGACCTTGCAACCTCCACAATGTATGCCTCCTCAAGTTCAGTTGTCAGCAATGCCTTGTGTCGGTGGTTCGCGTGCTGGGCGACCTGCAGCATCTCGGGCCCCAGGCGTTGCAGTTCCACCGCGGCGTCACGGCCAGGCAGGCTTGACAAACGCTCCCGCAGTAGCGGAAACACAGCGTCAAACAGCAGGCCTCTGCTACTGCTACTGCTATTGCTGCTGCTGCTGCTGCTGCTGCTGCTGCTGCTGCTGCTGCTGCTGCTGCTGCTGCTCCTGCTGCTGCTGCTGCTGCTCCTGCTGCTGCTGCTGCTGCTCCTGCTGCTGCCGCCGCTGCTGCCGCTGCGGCCGCGGCCGCCACCACTGCGTGGCGGCGGCGGTGCACGGCTGCTGCTCGTTGATGGCGGCGGCGTGCTGGCTGCAGCACTAAATACATCACAAGTAGCACAAGCCCATGCGAGTCGGACCAAGCTGAGCAGCTCCAAACGGTTGTTGCCCTGCTGGCAAACAGCCCCCGCTGTGGCGGCCTGCAGCAACTCGCTAGTCGAGCTGCCAAAAACAGCTGCCCCCCATGCAACAGCAGCCAAGTTCGCTGCACTCCAAACACGCACGCCGCCGCTTGCTGATGCAGCCGCGTCAGCCCCGGCTGTTGCCGCTGTCGACGCCGACGCAGCTGCTGCTGCCGCTGCCGCCCCTGCTGCTGCTGCTTCTGCTGCTGCTGCCGCAACCGCAGCCGCAGCCTTGTCCGATGCTGCTGTTGCTGGTTCTGCTTCTGATGTTGCTGCTGCCGCAACTGGCTTCGCTGCCACCGCAGACGAGCAAGCCGCCTCGAGCAGGGCGCGGTGGCAGTGGCGCAGCGTTGCCAAACCTGAGACCAGCGCGGCCGTATCGGCCGGCGAGCACCCCTCGTGTGACAGTGTGGCTCGCGCTGACAACGCACCACCGCTGCTGGTGACGGAGCCGCTGTCATCCCGGCCGTTGTTGCCGCCGCCTCCGGAGCTGGCCCGCAGGCGCGCTGCAGCCTCATCGCCGAGCGCTTCCAACAGCCAGCTGCAGGGCCACCGCAGCTCTGCCAGTGCAGCCACCACGGCCGCAAGCTGATGTGATGTCATGCGCGGGATGTTGTTGAGCCTGGGGCTGGCCAGGACACGTGAGAGATGCTCCAGCAGCCAGGGGTTGCGGTAGCGCAGGGTGGCGAGGGCAGCCATGATGTCACACAGCTCGGAAGGCAAACAGTTGGCTGCCTTGTGGTGGACCCATCTGCATGGGAATCACACATTCCATGCGTTGAAAAGGTCACGATCGTTTGTGGTGAAGAAAGGGGGCGCAGAGTTATCTCGGGTGCACGCTGAGAGTGTTGTGTCGGCTGGGTGCGCAGCATCGGGCTGAGGCGCCGCAACTGATCGTCGGCCCTGCACAGCTAGACATGCCTGCGCTGTCTTGTGACGGGAAGGGCGGGCAATGGGACGCCATCTGGACAACCCTTGCCCAGCCCAGCTCAGCCCGGTTTAATGCAGGCTCACGTTGCCAGCTCATCCATCAGCAGCAGGTCTTTGTGCTGCAGCCTCGCCAGCCCGACCAGCACCGCCGCAAGCTGCCCCGGCTTGAGCAGCCCCAGCCGCTGGCGCAGGGCTCGGCGCAAGGCAGCCAGCAGCGGGGGGTGCGGGGCGGGGGCTTCCGCCACCAGGCAATAAGCGCGGCAGATGTCGTGGCGGGGAAGCTGGCCCACCTGTTGGTATGAGGGTTGAGTGAGGTTGGTGCGGGTGGTGGCGAGTACGATTACAGCTTGACATGTGTGTGCACAGCAGTGGTTAGCATGCAATGTCAGTGGTGCTGGTTGCTATCAACATATTAGCCCATAAAATGTGAAGGCGGCGCTGCTGTCAAGCGCCAGGAACCTGAAGCCTCTGGGCGACGCCTCAGTGAAGGGCAAACCCAGACCTCCAGAAGCCGCAGCCGTCACGTACCAGTGTAGTGGCTCGCTCCACGACCAGCGCCCAAACTGCAGCATCGTCGACTGAGGTTGCCGCTGGCGGCTGCGAGTGAAGCACAGCGCCTGCACCCACATGCTGCTGGCTGCCGCTGCTGCCGCTGCTGCCGCTGCTGCCGCTGCTGCCGCTGCTGCCGCTGCTGCCGCTGCTGCCGCGGCTGCCGCGACTGCCGCTGCTGCCGATGAGGTCACCTGCATCACTGTTGCTGCACTGCTCGGCAGCAGCCACTGCGCTGGCCTCCATCAATCTGCCAAGCGCCCAAACCACGACAACGCTATCCCATGGCCCCATGTGAGCGAGGGGCGACGGCTGCTGCTTGAGCGCCTCCGCTGCTGCTGCCAGCAGCCGTGGCGGGCGCAGCCGCAGCGCGGCAAAAGCGCCAAGGAGCGCGGCCAGCTGGCTGGCACGGCGACGGCTGTCCAGCTTGATGGCGCCCCTCTCAAGAATCAAGGTAGCTGTATGTGAGGGAGTACACACCACAGGGTCATTGAAATGGGCAACACGTGAGGCACGCAGCTTTGCCTGCAGGATGTGTTGCTGGGTCGCAGGCAAAGGAAACCTCACACCCTCACGGACCCCTGTACAACACTGCTTCTTTGTGCTCCCACCTGCAGCGGCGACTGCACTCATCAGTGATGTGTCTGCATTGCCAAACCGCCCGAATGCTAGCGCCAGATGGCACACCGGCCCCCACTCGCTGCTGCCGGTGGCGGCGGAGTCGCGCAACTGCTGCGACGCCGCTGTGGCGAGGGCAGACAGGAAGGGCGGGTCCACATGGCCGGCCGCGGCCAGGGCACACGCGAGGCCCGCGAGCTGGCGGAGCGAGAGCTCGTGCAGCATGCAGGCCCCATGACGCAGTACTGCCTCGACCTCGCTTCGCCGGTAAGGCTGCACACGCGCAAGGCTGGCGGGCCCGTCATCAAAGACGCCACCATCGCGGCCTCGTGGAACGTACAGGCACAGCCGGCGTAGCACTGAAAGCGCGTGCTGTCGCTCCTCCTCCCCATCCTCAGCGGCCCCCGCGTCATCGCTGCCGTGTGGCGATGTGCGCTCCTCTATGCGCTGCGCCTGGACGCCTTGTTGCGGCTGCACGCTTCCCGCATGGGCCGCTGCGCCTGAGCCCACTGTCGCCGCCCCGCTTGTGGCGGATGTCGTCCGGCAGTGCTGCCGACAAGCACGGCGCCTGGCCGTGCGTAACGAAACGACAGCTGCGGCCGCCGCTGCCTCGCGTATGCTACATTGCTGCAGGCGCCGGTGCCACGTCAGTAGCGAGGATGAGCGTGCTGCTGAGGGCGCTCTACTGCTGAGTGTGGAGGCGTGCATGGCGCCCTGGCTGGATCAGCAGCCCGCCTTGCTGCAGCGCTGCGCTCGCACTGGCTGCTTCTCGGCCACCGCGCTAGCACGTTTGCCGCAATATTCCATTGATGAAACAAGAGCGTTACGAATATTAGATCGACCGACCACTACGCTTTATACAGGGATTGCGGTGCACTCGGGCATTCTGCCGCGGCAATCTTGTCCGTGGTGCGCATTCAATCAGCCCATGCTCAATTGGTTCGGCAGGTGCATTAAGATTCGCGCGAACAATCTAGAGGAAATGCTGGGGCAAGGTCTGCAGCAGCCGCGCGCAGCGGCAGCGTCGAGGGGCATGCAGCAGGGGCACCTGCTGCTGCGCTCGCAGTGGCCGGCGCTGCGACCCAGCCGGCATTCAGCGCGATGCTGGTGCTCGGCACCAGTGGCAGCTGCAGAGACCGCCACGCAGCAGGA